AAGTGTATAGTCTGTATATTATTCATATTTAAAAGACGATTTGATACCCGCTAATATTGAAAATATTGTAGACGTCTGTACTAAAGAATACATTTTAAATATCCCATTACATAACACAGGCAGAGAATGGCAAGTGTACAGATGCCCCTCAATATATACTGAACAAAAATATAAACGCACGAAACTAAAATGGTCAGTTGAAATGGATAATCATGAAATATGCCCAGGTTGATGGTTTATTTGTGAACTGATGGATTTGTTTTGATCAATTATAGTGGTCTGGTTTCACTTGGCCGCTCCCCGTGAGTATACTTAAAGGTTCAGTTTTTACACCCATAAGACTAATGGAGCATGACGGAGTAGAGGTCAATCTGCAAGACCAATACTCGGACACTCTCTACCGCCTAGGCAATAAAAGGACACACCAAAATGTGTATTTCTGCCACTTGTCAACATGCCACAGATGTCTGGAACCATGAGGGAGCGTGCCATCAGCATGCTCAATGCTGGCTTGTCAGTAACAGAAGTTGCCAACTGAATGTGCATCATTCCACTGTTAGCCGTCTGGGAACACGCTTCAGAGACACTGGTAGCATTAGGAACCACCCTCATGCACCATGTTGCCCAACAAACACCTGTGGAATGTTCTGGATCAGAGTTTTCAGCCATCGTGTTCCAGCTCTCGAAAATGTTCGCCAATTGCAAGAAGCACTCCAGGAGGAATGGGATAATATCCCTTAGGCCTCTATTGACAACTTAGTGAGCTATTTATATACAGCTCACTGGTTCGCCTGACACTTGCTTTTAAATTGAAATCTGGTTCAAACAAGCACTGGTATAAGTAAGTAGGGCGACATGAGCAGATGCCAGTTTCCTTACTAACGAAGGCTGGCTTTGGTAACTCCAATTAAAAAGGGAATATTGAAAGCAGGATCCTTGAAAAAACATTGGTACTGATTGTGTTCAAATCGTTTTGAGCTCTATTTGAGAGATTTTTCTAAAAGTTGTTTAAATGGAATTTGGATGCAAAATCTGTTGCAACTGCCTTTCTACTCAATTACCATAGGTATTTACTTGCGGTTTTAGTTGTGACGCTGTTAAGCGATTACTAAGAACCTATTTTGGATTGGATTACTAAGAACCTATTTTGGGTTGGGGCACTTACTAGCGCAACTAACGCAATAATGATATCTATAAACAGGATTGTGACTTTAAAAAAGCGTAACTAACACAGATGTTAGTCTGTCAGATGTTAACAACTGAACGTGTTCAACAAAAAACTCCCAGACTATTTCTCAATTTTCCCAATCCGGTGACCCTGGTTGCGTGACCAGAATGCAAAGGGATTTAACTCCCCACCCTTCAAGAGCAGACGACAGTGCTGTGTTCCCTGGTGGTGGTGGTGTTCGGGGGGGGGGGGGGGTATGGTGTGCCTTGTCAGATGAAGATTTTTCAAGGGTTTTCAAATCCTTTTTACCGCCGTAATACGTATATGACAGTAACACGTGTGTTACTGTCATATACGTATTACAGTAACACACGTGTTACTGTCATATACGTATTACAGTAACAGTAACACGTGTGTGGTACATGTGGGCTAAAATCGGAGCATTATAAAATGAGCCGTCGGCTTCGAGTCGAAACTGACCCAGTTTACAACTTGATCACAATGATTATAGATGACCCTTAACAAATCTTTTAAAAAGATTTACAAGCTTGACAACGATTCATCTTATAGATTTTCTTGATGTTCTCGTTTATCTTATAATGCTTTCTATCTATTACTTATTCAAGTTTTCAACCACAAAAAAATGCCACAAAGATTTCAGACACCTTTTTCTTCACAACCTGGTGAAAGCCAACAAAATACCTAATAACAAACATTATCAAGTCAGTAATTTAGCCGTATTTCATCTATCAATAACAACCATAAGAAAAGTGCATCAAACACCTCCAAGTATTGTTTATACGCCTGCTCACTCAGCTTTTTGTTCAGTAAAACGTGTATTACCCTTTTCTTAAATGAAGAAAAATATGCATAAGACAGTAAAATATGCATTGAAAATGACGTTAATTTCTTTGGTTACATGGGGTAGCGTATTGCTACTCATTTTTCCTTAACCCTAACTATCGGTACATCTACCTAGTTTTGTTATTTGCATGAGCGTATGGCACTGGCTTTTAGAATATGAATTTAACTTGACCTTTATCCTAAATTTCGTGAAGATGTGCATACAAGTTTAGTACATTTTTCTCTGGGTTCAGTAATAGCTTTACAAGTGATGCTCTCTGATGTTTTTTTTTTTTTTTTTCAGTCTACTGATGGGGAATTCAGCAAACAATGTTATTACCGTTAGCAATAATTGTGCTACCAACTAAAGTGATTTGCGCATGATCGCCTTCTTTTCGCATAGTCATGGGCCTCTACGTACAGTTTTATATCAGTGTCTGATAGCCCGGTGTGGTGGTCTTTCTCCAAGAGAGAGTTCATTAAGCTTTGAACTCCGGTCATTCTCAACATGATGGCTTCTCTGTCATTTACGTGTGCTCCAATATGTAACGTATCCGGATTTTTCAATATCAGTGAAGTTGGATACACAAATGGGAAAAAAGATTTTGGCTGAATGGTAATGCAGTAAAGGTCTGCGTGAAATCGCACAGGCTCGCTGATGTATATAATACTAAGTGTTCTGGAGCTTAGAACCGCAAGGTAAACGTGGTAAACTTTGCGAAAGCGTCGGTGAATCAGTGCTATATGAAGGTCGTCCTTGTAATGCAGAAACGGTGTGCCGTTCCGGAGAAATGATGACCCTCGTCTTTGTTTTGAAGGAGCCGGGTTGAGTGGATTGATAGAGTCCCCAGGTAAAGTCGTGTCAGACTTTTTATTCAAATCTGATCCGGGTACAGCGTTATGCTGGGAGCATACGGCGGAGGCGTAGTCGCATTTTAACATAATGAATGGGAATAGTGAATAAACTAGAAAAAATGTCTTGTCTTTGGCTGTGTAGGAGCTTTGACTATAGGGTGGAAACGAAGCTGTGAACTGAATCGGTACCCAGTTCTTTTCCCACCCTTGAAGGGCCATGTCATTGACTTGTATTCGCTTCGGACCCTCATTGGTGTCAATATTATACAAATACACTCTGGAGAGAAACCCTTCGACTATTCTTGAATAAACAATGACATTGCTTCCATCCACAACAAACAACCTGGCATCCTCTGGTCCGCCATGTCGTTCGTACATAACGGCTGGTATCCCCAGGAAATGACCGCTTTCCACTGGATCGTAGCTGCAATTCACTGTCAGCTTCAACAAGTAATTCATTTGAAGCTTTCCGCTCGCCGTGTAGTTTCTCACTTTTGCGCGTAAAATAATATCTAAATGTCCACTTTTTCCATTGCTGCACCTTTTCATCTCATCTGCCAAAGCCACTGACATAAACGAGGCGTTGACGTGGAGTTCATCATCAAACTTCTCCCTCAACAACCAAGAAGGGAAGCTTTTCATGTAGCAACTACTGATGGGTGCTTTTAACAGACGCGTGCCATTGCCGTCACTGGTAATACCTTCCAGGACGTAATTGTAGATATATTTCTGTTGACAGATACCTGTGCCATTTTGTCCGCTTTGTGTTACTGAACTAGAGTGCTTCGTGTCTACTATGAACGAAAACAATAGAAAAAACAGACCGCCGATTGAAAAAATTGCTCGGCCTTTTGTCGAACAAAAGCAATTACACAAACGAAGGAAGACCCTGTTCATGGTATTGGAATCCGCAGAGCAGCCACCTGACAGCCTGGAGAACTACTGATCATATAGGTAGCATCTTTCATTAAGTTTTAATCAGTTATCTTATTGAGCGCCTGCATCTTTATTGTTATACATAAGAAAAAGAATATCAAGGTTAGCCTGCGTGTTTTGGGGGTTCAGCCAATGCTATGGGTTTTCATATCGTCTTATATAAAGTGTTTTGAATTATTTAAAGATAGGATTTGGTTATCGAGGAACTAAATAAAGTATAACATATGGAAAGAGGGTTTTGACTGCAGGTTGTTAATACAGGGGACAACAAAAGTATTGCACCATAAGATAAATGAGACATGGATTTTTGGCTTGTTTGTTTTTCACTTCGAATTTTAATGCTATTTGGTAATTTCAAGAACTTGACTACAGGTTACAGACCAATGCTTTTCCTTGCATGAATTATGTTGTTATTATATCAGTATAATATGTAGGGCAGCCATGTGTAAGAAACGCGTCTTCACTGGCAGATAACCAATGATGTGCTCTCACTTATCCACCCCTGTTGTTAAGGGTGAATATGGAGTCATCGGAAAATACAAAATGACACAAGATTCGACATGGGGTCCAAACGAGTGCTTTTGCTTCCCATGTCACTCTTCTCCACCAGCTAACCGAGGTGATAAGTGATTTACCCCTGGTTTCTTCCTTTGAAGTATGGAACCATCTTTGGATACCTTCTTTTGCTAATAGAGGCTACTTGTTGCACGGCCACTCTATCGCCAAACATTGCAAGACAAAAACTTTCGTAGCCTCGGCAGTAGAAAAAGACGCCTGCCGTCTCTGGCACTCGTCTTTCTCAGGCGGGCACGTCGTGGTAACTTTTGGGCATCACCAGTGTCCCCCATCTTTTTGCAAACCCCATTACGCTTTGAATCCCGCCTATATTGCAGCAGTTAGGAATGAATTTTTTAATATCCCAATATATAACGCAGGCGGAGAATGGCAAGTGTACAGATGCCGCTCTTTATATATAGTGTACTTATAAAAAGAAAAATAATAAAGGCACACTTTGCAAACATTTAAATCGCGCTTTCCTCATATTTTCAAACATTGTGAGTGTTTATGGTAAGTTGACAAGTTGCTCTTAAATGAGGAGTTAAATGTCTTTGTTCATTAAAAACGCTGACGTGAATGTTGATATCCTGAATCAGCAGAAAGCTGGAAAACAGCACAAGACACTTTTCAACACTGATAATTGCTTTTATTTTTATATAATTCCGTAAACAGTGATCTTCAGTTCTCAAAATACATCATTGTGTAAATTCTCAATTATAAAAATGAATGACATGAATAGTGAATGACTTAAAGTATTTTCATATATAGTCACCAATTCTAATATCCAATGCTTAGAACTTGAAGAGTAAAATATGCTGCACTGAGTGAATAAATTACAAGGGTAATACATAGCTTAAGGAATATATTTGTATATTTATACATTTACAAAAGGTAAGTGATATGTACAGGTGGATCATAAATACAGATAATCTTACATATAATATATATCTAGGATTTGCTGACTTTTTTTATTTACAAATTGCTCATAAATATAGAAGAATGTATAATATATAATATATATTATATACTTAGGTGGCATGTACAAATTTGCCATAAATAGTAATATATGGTAAAAGGATATATATTTATTTATGTAGTGGTGAAAAACATAATAAGTATTTACAATGCATTGTTTCATGAATAAAAATAATTTAGAATCAAAATTAATATTCTTGTGATCTATGTACTACTTACAGTATTGTTAAGATGTTGAGAGAGAGTGAGGAGGGGATCACTGTACAGTATATTGTATATTTCTAAAAAGACATTTGGCCTTCTCAGAACATGTATTAAAAGTAATATGATCAGTTCTTAAAAGTTAAATAAAAAAGCAATACATGTAGTGTATTTTTATCATAGAACTTTTTTCTTTGACAAACAGCAAAATTGTTTCTGACATCTAAATATAAATCAAAACCTGCCAGACAAATCCGTAATTCCAATTATAAAAGACTATCACCCAATATATATAATTGTTTGTAGATAAATATGAAAAATAATTAAACCAAGTCTCTAAATCCATTTGATAGACAGACCTGAAAGTGTATCCATGTACATGTGGTAATGAGTCTCATATATATATATAAAACAGGAGACACTCCTAATAAAACAAAATTTTACAGGAAAAATTAATGCTGATAAAATCTCAGATTTCAGTAGCAATACAATATCATATTAGCTATACTAGGCAAGACTTACTGACTTTAAATTGAGTATTTTTCAAGTTAAGCTGCATTGATGCGGATTGCAGTTGCTGAGACAAGCAACACAATACCGGTTGTGACACTACATCTTCTCAGAAGATGTGTCATTGGCGACGTTGATTGAATCCTAACGACTATTAAGTATAAAATAAAACATATTTTCTTTCAACAACAGGGCATAAAATTACTGCTTAGCACCAACTATGGTTTCTACTTTAGCACAAGATTGTCTGAAAACTGGGAATAAAGTTATTTTCCTGAAGCGACGTTTTAATTGTTCTTAGTTATTCCCACTGACGCAATGCAAGGTTTTTCTTAAGAATAACACGAAAGGCGTGGACAGGGAAGCACCAGGTAATATATCATCGCTGTGGTCATGAGATTACGGTGAGGTAGGAAATATCACAGGTCTCTGACGTCACATCACAGCACCACGAGGTCGGAAAATACCTGTGAAGAAAATTATATGTAATTAGCAAAATTAGTCGCGCCATAATTTGAGTCAGTCGGGGGTTAAATGCTTGCGATGCCGCCGAGTCCAGGGGTGGACCCAGAGATATTTTCTGACAGTCTTCCAAATTATCTTTGTTGATCCATCCTCCATTTCTGACCGTCTTCCGACAGAAAAAATAAGATACCTGTTAATGTAAACTTGAAAATCTGACCGTCTTCTGGAAGACCCAGAAGACGGCCTCAATCCGCCCCTGGAGTCCTACTGTGTTTAGTCTTGATAATAAATGAGTCAAAGATATTTTAATCAACAAGTCAGATATTTCTTAATGGTAATAATTCTTACTTTCTTCACTTTCCATCACAGGCGTTTATTTTATTGCAATTAATGCTACTATTACAATAAAGTGGTAAAAATGTGCGTATCAAAGGTCAATTTTTAGGGCAATTCTAAAAAGTACAAGGGAGAAATGAAGCACTGAATGAGTCATAAAAAGCAAAGCTTACTTTAATATTCCAATGGCGAAAAGACGGTTGAGTTACGTCACCGGGATCCCTTGCACGTTGTTTGACTATAGTCAATCTTAACGCCCTTGCGCTCACACTCACGAGCGTACGCTTTCAGAGATTCACACACGCAATTCTGTCGAGAACTGGGACACTCACACATGTCTGTAATACACGACCTGTGAAGAAAAATAATATATTCAGTTAGATTCATGTATTTATACCAAAGCTCAAGTGTGTATTGTTTGATATATATCTTTAAGCAGGGCAGGCCTGAATAATTTCTATTCCTTCTTCGTCAAATACTTCGTGTACAATCATGTTTACAAGTGCTGTAGCCCTACTTGGGCTTAGCAAATGATAATGATAACAGAAATAATGACAAAATTAACAACACCACTACTACTATGTATAACTAATAATAATGATAACAACAGAAGTAATTTTGCTGGTGATTATCGGGGATTATTTCTGAAAAGCAAGGAGAATTTCATTGATGTCTTGATATTATACTGACCTGTAATAATGCTTCACTGGCACCTTAGAACGGCATTGGGAGAACACTTGTCCCTTAAGAATGCTGCATTCTTCGGCGGCTCTGGTTTTCTTCGTGAAATCGTTGTTACACGATGTATCGTATCTGTTCTTCTTGCCTCTTGATCTTTTCTTTGCGTGTGATTTGTAACAAGATTTTCTGCTGCCTATGCGCCAGGAGTTTCCAAATTTATCCGCATTTAGATAGAGTCCTCCTTTCTTACCCTTGAAATCATCTGCTTCGATCCCGTTGTAATTTCCACACAGTCCACACATTTTACTTTTGTATTTCGCCGGAACTGCGACCTCGACGTAACTGTCGCCATCCCAAATCACTTTGAGTCCAACATTAGTCCGTACAATGACGGAATATCCGCTCTTCATTACAGAGAACGCCCCCAGCTTCACATGCGGAATGTCCACTTTTTTATTGTCCACTTTAATGACTAAATTCTGCTGGAGCACTATTTTTGTTTTTCCCAGGTGGATGCTGACTCGGTTTGTCCATGCGAAAGAGTGGGTGGATCGGGCGTGGTTTTGCACGCGGACGGAGAAGGAGTTATTTGCACAGTCCTGGGCCAACACGTAGCGACACGTGCCTTGGAAGTTGAAAATTCGCCCGTCGAAGGTGCGATAGTGGGGGTCCCCGAAGACAGCGCACACTGCATCTTCTGAAGATGATAAAAAGTTAGCATGAAAATATATATTATATTAAAACAGATAGAAGTAATTCACTTTCCCACGATTAATCGAAATTTGAAAAATAATAATGAAAAGAAACACACACACACACACACACACACACACACACACACACACGAAATAATAATAATAAAACAAAGGGACAAATATAAATGGAAGTAAATAGAAAAGTAAAAGCAAGCACAACTTGTAATACGATCCTACTGATGTTCCAACTTCATTATAAAGATTTTGAATACCAAATTCATAATATTCATTTTTGATTATTTTAACTTATTTCATTTTGTAATTCACATTTATTAGACTATCTATTTATAAAAACCATTATGGTCATTATCATTTTACTTCATTTCTTCATTTTTATTACTCTTATTAATATTTATTAATTAACTTTATGCATTATGTTTCGAAAATACCGCATGTCGTCTCTCACCAGATAACCAACGTTCTTTATAGTAATTAATAGCCAGATAGACAGGCGACTGATGAATTAGGTCTTCAGACATAAAGAGTCATGGAACTGTTATCCTCTCCTGACTTACTGACTTGCCATTGATTACTGTTGGCGCCACCATAATACGCGACTCTTTTGGAAGTCGGTCGCCATAGCGGTCTGGTTAGCTGCTTTATATTACCATGATAACACGACTCAACAGAGACATAGATATAAGCCGCTGATGATGATTATGATTATAATTGTCGTAATGACTCTTAAGCACACATACGTTATTTGCTAAGTCGGAAATCCGTAGGCTGGGACAATGGTATTTTTGGTGATACATAATATTTCGTTTCTAATTTTATCATCTATTCACATCTGTCCTTGCAGACTGACACGCGTTGTTGATATAGTCACCTGGTTTCTGTCATATTTTAAGATTTATCTAAAAAGACACGTCTGTATAAATAAAATGCCCCTCATAGGTTTTGTCTTTAATTATGTTGGAATTAAGTATTCTCTTTCAACTTAATTTTCTACTATGTAAGAAAATGTTTGCACAAAAATCTCTTTGGGTTAAAATTACATATCCAATTTATAAATGAAGCGTATTTTCTCTCTTCACGCAAAAAAAGAAAAAAATGAAAATGAAAAAAGACGAAATACTACCTTGATGGGGGAAGAAACGTATACTATTCCAATTGTCTTTTATTTTCTAACTAACCTCGAACTATTGAATTAATACGGGTCGTGCGGAGCACGCGAAACGAAATGACAAAAGACACACACACACACACACACACACACACACACACACGCAGTATGGCAAAGAGACGAACGATCGAGCCCGAGTAATATATTTCCGTGCCCTGGTCCTGTCAACAACAGAAACCCATAACTTTTCCCACTTCAGATCATTTGGGTCACGATACCAACACCCCGGGTTTCATCTTCGCTATCTGCCTCTTTTCGCTGTATCTACTGCCTTTAAGTGCACGGTCCATCCAATAGAACGAACTCTGGTGACGACATTTTAAATAATAAATCTGAAACTCACCTTCTACACATTTTGGGCAGCACTGTCCATACACCATCTGGAGGCGGTGGTTGGGGGGACACTCCAGTCGGTTGCTGCACTGTTCTAGCTCGCACTTGCTGGAACCATTGTCACAGGTGCAGGTGGTGCAGAGATCTGGCTTCCATGTTGCTCGATGCTGTAATAGTTAACATGTCGTGATTGATCAAATATGATTCAGAGGATGAGGATAGCTTAGAAGAACGTAGAAAGAACAAATTAACTTCTATAACGTTAGTCTTAGCTGACTGAATGTTATATTATTTCTTTTTTTATTGATTTCAGATTTTTAATTTTTTTTTTCGATAACGATGTCTTTCTCATTTTTAATAATCAACTTGAATAATCAAATCTCAAATCTCAATCTGCCCAAGGTTTGATTTTATTTTCGTACCTCGTGAAGAACACCATTGTATTCGCACTTTTTCTTGGGTTTACACCTTGCACAGCAGGATCCCTCATCTCGAATAATCTCGTCCTCGGCGCACGTGAGTGGTGGACAAGTCTCGCTCTCACACACCATAGTTCCAGTCTGGAGACAATAAAATACCGATTATTCCAAAGCATTTGATGATCGCGTCATTCGTGAAAATTGTTCGTTTGAATTTGAATTTTCTTATAATTCAAACATCTTTTACCATTAACATTTTCAGTTGCAAAGACAAAAAAACTTGGTGAGAGTTTCCTTAATTTAATTTCTGCAAATTATTAAATCTACATGTAGAATAACGTTAGTTCATTCTGAATGCTAAAATGTATATCCTATCAATTACCTTGCAAGTACAACCCGTGCACTTATCCAGCGGCATGTACTGGCCCTCCTTGTACACCTTGTATCTGAATAAACAGCGCGTCTTCCCCAAGTCGAAAAACGTCCTTGAACCTGCAGAGAATCAGTCACAATTTCGATATAATTATATTTTTGTGGTCAAGTAAACAATTTCATCAAAAATTTAAGTACTTTTTTATTGCAGACAATTGGCTCAGTAAAGCGCAAAGGATGCTACTATACTAAAAATTTGGTTCTCACGGAATACAAAAATAGAAACATTAAAAAGAAAACAAATAAGAAAGAAACCAGATATATNTTTGTGGTCAAGTAAACAATTTCATCAAAAATTTAAGTACTTTTTTATTGCAGACAATTGGCTCAGTAAAGCGCAAAGGATGCTACTATACTAAAAATTTGGTTCTCACGGAATACAAAAATAGAAACATTAAAAAGAAAACAAATAAGAAAGAAACCACGAGAAAAGCGAAATATATTCTTACCATTACAGCGTGGGCAGCATGTTCCTTTTGGTGTGTAAATGACCTCAGGTGGACAGTTTAAAACTGGACATGCACGTTTACTGCATTGAACATTTCCTTTCTAAAAAACACAAAATTAAATACGTGTTGAAAATAATAAAAATAAATCAAACAAGATCGGCATGCTTGCCGTCGTGTCGGGTTTACAAATAGAAATTAACTTTTGATAACAAACACGACTTCCACTTTAGATGGCTTTTCACACACAACTGTTGGGTGAATATGTCGCCTTTTTTATTGTTTGACAGACTTTCAGCTGGCGCAGTGCAGCGAGGGAAGACGGCTGACCCGCGTGAAAAGAGACCTTAGTATCTGAAAATTGCGCTTTTATCTCGACTAATACCTCGCCCAACGCACCTTTTCATTCCCTGTTGGAATTTCGGTAATAAATTACCGTGGCATTGATTAAACTCTGCCTAAAGCTAGGTAGCCCGAATGCTTAGCCATGTTTGGAAAAGATAAACTAAGTGTGTTTTAAACCTCTGCGACTGAAGTGTCAGCTTAGTGCTGCAAGGACCTCGTGTTTACCGACATGGCTTACCTACCAGCGCATTGGCAACAGGGTGAGAATCGATTTCTGATAAGAATGTCAATAATAATCAAACTGAGTTTATATTCTTACACAAATCCGTGGGCAAACAAGGTGAAATATGCGCTCATTTTCTCAAGCACTACCACATACGTAGTTAATTTATGCATAGTTTGGAAATATTTTCAACGGACTTGGTTGGTGGAGTTTGGGATAAAACATATGTTGGACCCTCGGTGTTGTGGTTGAGGGGAGATCGGAGTTCATCTGTTCGGTTCCAAGCTAACAGAATACTATTACTCGGTTTACTTTCTTGATTAAAACATTTTGACGACCTACCTTGCAGGTACATTGTGTACATGGGTCGGATTTCAGAGAAAAACTCTGCCCATTTCTATACATCTTCCCTTCCACGCTGCATCCTGAAAGAGAATACATTTGATTTGTGAATTAAGTTACGCAAGTTAAAAAGAGATTTAAAAATTGCGGATGCAAATCAATGTGCTTTATTTGGCTTTTTCTTTTCTTCTTTTTTTGGCTTTCTTGAAATGCTATAACAAATGATTTAATAGAGACGATATAACATTCTTAAACTTATTAGTTGCAGATAATCTCCTTTCTCTTCACTCTTAAAGATTGAGACGGCAAGGGGGCGGGGATAAACTTTTTCTCGTCGTCTCCCGATAAACTATGACCTACAAGATGAACCAAGGTCTCTGCTTTTTGAACGCAATGACAGGGGTTAAACATAAAATCGTCCCGTGTTTCTCGCTAGAGATCGCCCGCAGTGATATCATTCTGTATATTCTGTATATGTTTTGATCCTTCCTTTTGTCGAAGTATTTCGTTCAGCGGGCAGAGAAAAAAGATTCCGTGCCGTTGATGAGCAAGTGGCTCCCGGCTGCCGAACAGGATCAAACAAACCTGATCCCGCTCTCTTGTCTCTTTTCCCTAAACATTAGGTTCCAAGTTTAACCAACTGGAAACTTAACTACGGCTTCAAGTCGTCTCCTTAAGACGATATGGCAGTAAAGTCCTCCTTATCGGCATCTTCATTTATTTCTTTTTGAAAAGAAGACTAATTTGCTAAAATAGCACCCCCGAGTTTCAGAGCCTACTTGAAACCATCCTCAATTTTCAGAATGCCTATTGCCACTTCCAATAAATGCAACTAGAGGTTAACTCTGTGATTCAGGGCGTAAAATGGGAAGGATATCGAGAAGACATTCTGAACGGAAGTTTAAGATTACCCTAAACATGAACCCTCAGTAAAGTTCTGACCTTTTTGTTATCTGTCCATGGGCCATCTAATTGTAATTTCATTCACTTTATCGTTTCCTCAAATGGTTACACATTTATTTGACAGACTGGTCCTGTTTAAAAATGCTAGCTATAGGTCTGGAAAAGGGGAATATCTCTGATTTTAGTTTGATATCGCTAAATTGGCGACTTGTAATGGCGATCTTTCTTCGTTCGAAAGTTTGCTTGAACTTGAGAATTAGTTTTACTGAAAAAAGATTCTAATTGTTGAAAAAATTTTCATCTCCATTTAATTGTTCCAAAACCATACAAGTGTGACATTTTCAGTTGACCTTGGGACGCCGGGGGACAAATATTTGTATTGGATGTTCCTCGGTTTGATACTGTATGTAACAACATCTATATCCACTTCAGTTTCCGCATTTACCGCAGATGAATGGATAAACTAATATTTACCAGTCTGTTACTGGTATGGTTAATCGACCTAGTACACACGGGAGAAACGAACCTCGTTGAATTTGGCAGACAATAAATATAAGGAAAGAAACGTTCTCCAGTTTAAGGTAAATTGACCCGGGGCCAACCTGAGGGAAATGTTCATATGTGTTACAGTCATTTAACACGACTTTTAATTTTCTTCTTGTTGAATCTGACAACAGAATAGTTTCACAACAATTTGGCCATGTTTTTGTATGCACCCCTCACAATGTTAGCAGACGACGACCAAATTAGTGGCCCTAATGAAATCCCAAAAATCCCGCCTCGGGTCCCGCAGAAACTAACTCCTCAATTTCTAATTGGGTACCAAATATTATATCACGGCTCCAGGGGAAATGTCTTTATCATTGTGGGGCATGTTTTGTAAACTGAAAAAGATACTTTCAGATGAAAAATCAAAACACAGAACAAGAGACCTACACCCAATATTTCGAAGTCGTCTATTTCTAATAGGGCACCAAATATTGGGAGGCGCCTTTCATAATACCCACATGCTTCAGGGGGGTTCCTTATCAAAGTAGGGTCATATTTTGTTAACTGAAAAATGTTATACTATTGAACAAGATAAGAAATCAAAACATTGAATCAAGTCCTTACCGTTGCACTGGGGACAACATTTCCCTGGTACTGGGACTGGGTTTGAACACGGCGCATAACACTGTCTTCTTGTGGCTGTCACTACTCCCGCCTTCATTAATAGATTTAAGACTTCATTTAGACAAAACTGATAGAAAATTTGGTGACAATAAACTAAAGATAATAATGATAATGAAGATAAAGTCCACCAAGTAATTTAGTGTTCATATATTTAGGGATGGTTAAAAACAATATTCAATTCTGTATATTTCTATCCTATTTTATGTAAATTTAACAAATAAATATTTCCACACACATACACACACTGCACGTGCATATACAAAAACATATCAATGTTTTCAAATTTATCGATCCTCTTTGGAATATTTCATACGTACAGAACAGTGGTATACTTGGCACGGATCTGCCGGATCCTTCCATTCCTTGGCACTCCGGTACTCTTTTCCTTTGTACGTGCATCCTGTGAAAGCAAAATTTAAAATGTAATAACAGGAACAATTATTTCACATTGTCTTCAGAACTAAGTCATATTGTGCATTGCTTTAAAGATGCAGTCAATTTTTGATACCATTACACTTCGTTCAGAAAATTTCACCATTTTCTTTTACCATAACCCGAATATGAAAATTCAGCAAAATATTTTTATTTATTTTCCAAGTGAGAAAGTTCTTCATTTCTATTATAACGCAACAGCATATCAATATTGTAAATTATGACTCGCCGGGGTCTTATGTGAAACACCTATACTAAACGGATTATGGAATTGAAAAAGTTGGTCGAGTTAATTATGGGTGGTACCGCCATCTAAAACCTTTATTCATCCAAAACTGTTTCTTAAACCATGGTATTTTTGCTTTAAAAAATACAAAAGATGCAATTGAAATGCTTGTTCAATTTGCAGCTTTTTTTCTTTTTTTTTAGAAGAAAGGAGCACCTTATCTATGGCCGTCAGTGACTGTCTACCTGGTGTAATTCCAACCTAGTCTTAAAAGTCGCAACGCGTCTAGACAGTGCGTCCAACTTCTGTTGAAGAAAAACGATATATATTTCACTGTAATTTTGAATGGTAACTTTTAAGAGGCGCTGCGGTGGTTCCACGCAGAAGATGGCTGTATTTAGTCCCTTTAGAAAGACAAGAATGGAGAAATGCAATACAATGACAAGAATTACGCTATTTTTTGTGTGTGTGAGAACGGAGTATTTGGTTTCAGGCATTTCTATCTTAAAACGTTTTGCCTTCCGTATCTCAGGTTCGTATGTTTTATGTCATTTCTTTGTACTTAACGACTATCTTGTCGCTTGTGGTTCTCAAGTCACATCAGGTCACTCTCTTTTTTGACAGGTGGACAATATCCAAAATAACCATCATCCCAACTGTCCTTCACTTATTATCAAAAATGAATAGAGATCTGTTGGTTGGACAATTAACATGACGACGTGAGATTACGGCGACATTAGCACTCAATTTAAGCGTTTGGCGTTGGGTGGCCGTGTACCTTGCTGACCAATTAGTCGCCTCACGTAAGTGACCAAGCTAAGCCATTAAATGTTCCGAGACAGATGCCCAGACACTCATTACATTAACGAGTCTGTGTTGATAGACGGTTAAAATACAATTTCAAGAAGTATACTATTTTCTTAGGATAAATTTTGGTGAAATGTGTTGTTCTTAGGTGGCGCTGCGGTAGTGTGAACTGCAAAAAGTCGTAAAAATTCTTCAAGTAGACTCACTTATCCCTAAAACCCAGGACCCCTTGAGAGTTAAGTGGGACCTATATTAAAGTTAAGTCTTTCCATTTGCACGCACACCCAGTTTCACCATCAATCTTCATCACCTTAAGGTGTCTTTATGGCTGATTTGAGAAAAAAAAAACCTACCACTGATAATATTTTACTTACAAGATACAAGTAATAGTGCTGCTGCTGTAACCGCTAAAATTCACTTTAACACATGTTCTCCATTATCATCATTCCCAAAAAACCTATCATTATTCAACTTGGACACATTTGCGGATAAGAGGACAAAAAATTTTCATGAGACCGAGTAGCGTAATAGAGCAGAGCACGCACGCCGCACCTGTCGCTATCTTCCAGTGTATCTAACAGTGAGTGTCGTAAACCGAGACAGCGGGATCGCTCTGCACGGGGAATCAAACTAAGCAAGATTTGGGACAACTTTTCCATCATCATCTTCTTCGGAATGTGTCCTCTGGGTCTTTATGGAAATTCGCACGTCATTTTGAACTAAATCTGTACCATTTTTCTGTCGTTGTGTTGGCACACCGTTCAGTTCAGACACGAAGAGGGAATAACCAGTTTTGTGTACGGAAAGGTATTCTACGAAACTGCAACGCTGATATTTTTAATCTATTATATTTTTCTTGAGGTGATGTTCATGCCAGTGGTAGCATGCTGATATATCATGTGGGCGTGAGCACATAACAAGACCAATCATGTCATTTCTTCAAGCGACAAACCATCAAATGAGGCCAAGAGCCATCGCGTTCTAAAATCAACTTGATAAACAGAGCAAGATGGTCTCCCGAAAGTAGTCTTGCGAGGAAGACGTAAGCAACCTTCGCCTCATAGCCTGAGCCGGTGAATTTTCACCTCAGGTGCAAAAGGTGTTTTCGACCTTGTTCAAGCGCCTTTCTTATCCTAAGCTGAAAAACTGTCCCTGTTAGTTCCTATTACCTGTTGGACGGCACAGGAGGGTCATTTCGGTTCTTACCTTTGCAAAGATTACAGCACTGGTCCTTGGGCTTGTCGAACAGAACCATGTAGCAGCCCGTGTTAGTGGGACATCTCTCTCTGTCGCATTCCACTTTACCACCCTAAAATAATATATAATTAATTGACATAGATAAAATACCACTTTTGCCATAACTTGGTAAATGAAAAAAAAAAAAAAAAAAAAACTCGTCGATGACGATGCTTTTAAAAGCTTCTTAATAATACGGTCTACTAATTTAGTAATTACAGAATTAGATTCTGTTTTGCTGAGCCAAAATTGTTCCTCTGCTCATCTTTGGGTATTTCTTTTTTTTTTCGACTTTTAATTCTATTTGATATCAGGCGTGGTTTTATTGATAACACCTGGATAAATATTGAATGTGGACGTTTTTATTTTATTTATTTTTTGTGTCATCCTTACGAGATGGAGGGGGTTAGAGAAGGACTTTTTTTAGAAGTCAAGCTTTATCACCCAATCTTTGTCTCATGCAGCTAAATTTTGGAAATGAGGACTGTCTATTACCGGCTGTTTTGGTCTGCAAATAACTTTGTTGTCCAATTAATCTGTGGCGCCTGCGAATTATGGCAATGCAAGAGGAAATAGGGGCCGTGAAAGAAGGACAAATACACCAACTTCTCTCTAAATAAAGTCGCCATTTGTTACATAGTCCTAAGATTATGTTATGCAGTGAGAAATTATTATCCCCCTGTTATTACCATCACAAATCTAAACTAATCTCCGTGACCGAGTTTGGCTACATGGGTAAAAGTCAAGAAAATCACTATGTGTAATGATACAAAAAGCGGGCAAAGATCAAATAAATACTGTTGCTTTTTCGCGTAACGAGATTGTGAGTGAAAACAAATTTTGTGCAATCGTAAAGAAAACAAGGCCTTTTGTTGACGGGAAGTTTAGGTGGCCGAGTGGACGCAGGGCATCGCCGGCCGGCCTGTAGTCAACTCACTGTTACCCAATTTACTGCAATGAGAAATCGACTCGCTTTTGTGGCGTGTTTGGATTTTCGCTGCGTTGAAGATTAGGTAAAAACCAAACTTTCAGGCAGGTAGAATGGTGACTCCAGGGGAAGCCAAATTGCTAGTGTCAGACAAAGAATCTCCCACGATGTCCCAGTTTCCCCCTCCGGCTACCAACCGGCTTCATTTTATTGCAATTATAGTGCCGTACGATTTTATTAATTTTATATTACATTAATAAATAACTCGTTAAGTAGCAGCACGTTGTTTGCGGTGGGAGAATAATGACAGGAACAATGCACTCACTGTCAAGGAGCTTGTCCCTGTCTTTCCACATTACTATGTTTTTAGAGGCATCAACCGCGCTATGACAGCCGCCTTTCACTCGACCGGGCAAGAAAACTCGGGGAGTAATTTCCCGATAATTGCACCGCTCATAATCAATTCTTTGACCATAATGAAAGGTTATTATGAAGATGAAAGAAACAAGGTAGTGGTCTTTCTCTCCACTGCATCAGTCCTCGTGCATTATGTCACCCGAGCCATACGATCGCGACTAATTTCCATAGGTTGTGCCAACACGTAGCTGTCGCCGGCGCATGGTCAAGTCGCCCGGAAAATCCTATTGCCCTCTACTATAGAGGCGAATTCGGAGCTCAGAGGAAAAATCGAGCAAATTTTGCCTGCTGTTAAACTTGATGACCACTGTCCGGTGATGCTGCTGTGTAATAAAAGAAACTGTGCTCGGTGCACCGATACGGCCTGTAGCGTACATAGAACAAAATTTAGTGAGATGTGTGAGGAAGCACTCTGCGCACGCTCCTGTACTGTCCAGACAGCTAGTTTTCTGTCTTTTTTTATTCATCTAGACTGTTATAAATTCCTGAAGTACAACCTTGTGTGTCTGGAGTCCTTATGCGCACCGTAAAACATCCCCGTGCCTTACAATTTTCTCAACCACTTCGGTTTTCAAAGGTTGAAAAGGAAGCGCTCCATCAAAAAAATGGCCATTACGCGTGATAAGAGACGAGAAGAATTTTTATCCGAATCCATGCTGATTTGGGAAAAGTTACTGCTGTTACACCGCTTAGCTGCAACATCTGTTCCGTTTTGTGTTTGACAGACTTGTTTGAAAATTCAACTTGAAGCGGTTCACAGTTACAACATCCTTACCGACTGGATATGTAAGAATTTAAAAAACCCCGATGAATTTTTGTGTAATTCTATTAGAGGGTTTATGAATGCTTTCTGTCAACTCCAATAAGAATTATTCCTACAAAGAGTAAAAAAAATTAAGGACTTGAGCGAGAAGTCACAAAACTATCCGGTTTATTGAGTACGTTTTCTGATATTGCTTCCTTTCTTAATTATTCATTCAAATTATTTATTTTCGTAAAACACTTTGAACAAAGTCAGAAGTGCTACTCCCGACCGCTTTGGCGGGGCCTCTTTTGTTCATATATACTCTCTGGATTGGGAAGAAAATGAAAGGCGTCTGAACCACTAGTTTACATAAATATTTTCTAAATAACCAATGTGCATGCTGTGGGCAATTTCTGTCGGAGGAGTATTGTCTTTAAGAACTGCCTATTTCATTTTAATTGAGATTAAATTGGCAACATAAATAATCTACCTGCTTCCGACCTCTACGGGACAAAAAATAATACACCTATTTCAGACATGCGATTAATAATTTTGATTATAAATTAGATTCCGGCAAGATGTTTTCTTTACCTTCGTAAAGTAATTACTTGGGCCTAATAAAGGCCATAAAATTGACTACATCTTCCCTAAATCTCCTAAGTTAACATACACACGGTAAATTCAGTTCAGGAATTAGTATCGCTTAGTCAAACAAATGCGGAGATGGAAAGTGTCCCAGTGTTCGCAATACAATGACCACATTCCCACCTCGGCTGACCACTCAATAAACGGTCAACACTTCTCTGGACATTATCAACAAAGCAAAAAATACAACATTACGACCCGTCGGCTGACTGCTACCCAGGGAATTGTGCCTCGGCCTTTCAGGGGTATTTATAATCGCTAGCGGCAAGGATTTCCCCGTGTTTGATTAAAAGAAGTTACAAGTGTGCTTCATTCTACAAACACGATGTGCTGACAAAGCTACGCGTATGTTCTCAGCGATTGTATTCGATTGTTAGATCAGCGAAATACACGGGCCCGAGAGGCCTTGTAAATTGGGAAAATTGATCGCCTGTATAGAAATCGCCTTTGGAAATTTAAATAAAGAAAACATTTAGCACGTGTTTTACATCATAAGCTTTATGTATGTCTATCTATGTATCTCCCTACACATATATCAAACACAATACGTGTGCCAATTTCCAGACTTAAAACTGTGAATCGGCAGTTTATATTGTCGACCATTACCACACCTTACTAGACTTTCCCCATTATCTTAGCCCAGGCATGATCGCATTTATCATGAACTGATATCTGTCCCGTTGTAGACAGTCCGTCTAGGTTGTTAACTTGCCCCCCTATGCGACACTGGGAGCCAAACAAGGGACATTATCCAAGGGCCCCGAAACTCCCGCGGGTCGCCAGTGATAAGCGAACGGGAGAAACAATACTGTCACACACATAGTGCTCGACGCAACGGTCTGTGTCTACGCTACAGACAGAAGTTATACCTAGAAAGCATAACAACCAAAAGGCGAGAGCACAAATTAGACGCAATAAGAGATGCGCTAATAACCTCTTGCCTCCTCCTGCGCCAAGTAACCCGTGAAGTCACCCCCACCCCCTATTCCTTATCCTTAACAAGCTCTCTCTTCACCTGAACATTCAATTAACGGTGTAAAGATAGTGCGCGGCTCTTCACCACTAGGCGTGAATTACTGGCACGCGACGATCTAATCCCTTGGGGCTCACAATAGATTCCGAACACTTGAGATTTGCTGTGATACAACGCCATGGCTGAGATATGGGGTGAAAAACTGTGTGTTCTTTTCACTAAACCCGACCATTAAAGCACAATGGGCAAAACAAATTACAAGGTGGTGGAAAATGGACGTAAATTGCCAGTTAAAACGAGGAATAAAATATGTGCAGATGATACGTATTAAATGAGGACAATTTCACGCATTTAACACCGGCCCCCGAAAGGTTAGAGATTGTTTCATTATATATTTCCCCGCGCGGGAAAAGCAAGAGATGTCATGCAATGCTAAAATGGGGGCAAGTGAAGGCCAGAGAAGACTAAATGTGTAATTTGCGTGTGATGGTTTAAACCTTCACTTGTTTTCCACAACTGTTCTTTTTTCTTTCATCCTACTAAAAGGTATAGCAAACAACCATTGAATAAAAAATGAGTAATTTCACTTGAAAAGAACTGCCCACTTTTTTTCTCCGATTTTAAAGTTTCTTTATTAAAAATGACACTTGTCGACTTACCTTACACACGCATTTGATGCACGGGTCCGTAGAAATTCCTTTTACTATGACTTCTTCTCCTTCATTCTCGCACGCTAAACTGGAGCCTGATATATTAAGAGAAACAAATAGCTTTGAGGAATGATATTGCAACATACATGCAGTTTACTCAAAATAGGCATAAACATTGACGATGTAATGCACTCTAAATATTTGACCAAGCCGCTGGGGCCGTCATAAAAGGAACGGGATATTTAGCTTCTCGTGGTTTAGTCTTTGACCTTTGCCACATTCAAAGTGGCAATTTGTAGGGTACTTGCTGGTATATCAAGAGCGTGGTGGACCAATCAGTCCATTAAGTAAATCATCAAGTGCAACCGGGGGGAAGATCGAGCATGGCGGCTAGAAGGCCTAAATGTTATCAGGCTCGATGCTTCTGTGATTTATATGGTAGACCGCGTGAGTTAGGGGCTGATGAGACCGTCTGATATTATCGTTCTGATGTTGTAACGCTGGAATTTACCTTAGTATCTCTGCCAGCACACACATATATGTATATATATAAAGTGCGTGGTATGCATTGTATACGCCTGGTCTGATTGTGACTAACTGGAGAGGGGGGGGGAGACGAAGGGACAGCACGCTTCGGTATTCTTAATACTCTGATTGAATACGACCGGGCCCGCTCTCTTGATCTACCTGCACCCCAATGGTAACCAGACCCCTTACTTTTTTATTCAAAAATATTTTACCTCTGGTTTAGTGGGTAACTTAATAGCACCCCGGGCGTAATTACGGACAAAGATGATAATAAATAACCGGGTAAACGACAGTTTGTGAATTTTACTTTATGGCTGCCTTGTCACGGAAAGAAATGGTAAAACGTTGAAGGTGACAGGGGCAGTGAAATAGATCCTCCACATAGAATAGGGGCCCATTAATTCGCTCATTGGCGATCATTGCAACTTCCCCATGTAGCAATTGGACGTTGTGTCATTCTGTGCTCGGTTTGTGTAACGCAAGCACGTCTGAATCGTGTTCTTATGTCTACCACATGTTCATCCCCCATACATGATAGTTAAGCGATCTCTCTTTAGCGTACAGGTGCAACTGACGACTCGGGACAAAGCTCGCTGCACGCCAACAATATTTTTTCTATTTTACCTATCTTCCCTCGGTTGGATTCTTTTCAGGTATTTTTACCAGCTGGAGGTGACAGTCCAGTTTGCTGTCTCTTTAAAAGTCGCTAAGTAGCTGAAGGCAAACGATATTTCTCCATTAAAGGGGTCGCTTTTAAGGCTTGAAGGCAAGACTAATGCACTGTCGAGATGGGCAAAACTGCACATGTCAAATATTACAGCATCAAGGTGACGCGTCCATGGCCCCCCGTAGTACAGACGCTGTCGACCGAGATGGGACTCTCTCTCTCGGGGAACATCTATCACCCATCCTCGCCAGCCAAGTGGCCGTCACGGAGAAAGAGAGTTAAATATATACACAATCCATTGAATTGTGCCTCGAGTTTTCAAGTTTTTTTCCACCTCAAAATAATAGACGCGTGCCACTCTTTTGACAGCCTAAAAAGTTAGGTCGTGTTTTCTTTGGCAAAGGGGAACAAAAACATCCCCACACGTGCACCAATTTTAAACGCTACACAAAAATACTAATCCGTAGCCGAGTTTACTCACCTGCGATCATTTGCGTCGTGGTAGTCCGGATCAGAAAAATACTGGTGACAAAAATACACAGCTGAACTGCTATGTGATCCAGGTATGCCATTACAGTTTGTCCGCCTGGGTCACTGGTTAATAAGTGAATTATTCCCAATAAATAAAATAAATAAGTAATGGTCGGAGCACTGTGACCGTATCTGGACTCCAACTTTGTCGTCGTAAAATAACTCATTGAGAAGCTATGCGGTGGCTTTATAAGTCCTCAAATGAATCCCTTCGAAAAGTCCATTTTGTCCCCCAGTCCCTATCGTTCTTAATCTGGTTAACTGACTGCACTAGCTCGCCCGACAGACTGCCTGCGCCAAATAACCGGATGGTGTTTTAAACCTGTGAGGGGGGAAAGGCACCTATGGCTGCACGAGGTGACGCTTGGTCGACCACCATTTAATCATCCTACTAGATAAACATTACAAGGGTGCATCAGATAATATTGTGTGGGCATTGCTTTACTTCCATGTCATCCTTGTATTTACTTGGGAATATTCTGTTACCAAAATACGCGTGGTATTTTTCTGGTGTCGCGCGTCGAGGACCCCTCGCGAGCCCCATAGCGCTGCTTGTAAATGGGACAATTCGGTTTAACTTTAAAGAAATGGCTTCTTTTCTTTCCTATTCAAAACTTTGAGTAAAAATGCCCAAGAGGAAGAAGCAAGGTGTAGTTCGACCCTCTTTTATTAACTTAATTCGATTGGAAACTCTTCGTGTTTGCCTAAGAATTAACAGTTGTACCTAACTTGTCATATTTATGTAGACGCGGTTTTTAATCTCATTTAAGAAGACAACATCGGTGTTAGGAAACTTTTGTGCCATCACGCATCTAAAGGCGACTAAACCACTTGAAAAAGACTTGTCTGTTCAAGCAATCAAAACCCGTGTATTGAAGTTTCAACGGAAGATAAAAACAAACACTTAGGCCTAGAGTGGGGCGCCGGAGAGCGCGGACGAGAGAATAATAGATGTATCGAAACAACGCAGTCTTACAGCCTACCTAAACAAGGTGGACTGACGACAGAAAACAGGGCCACCCCACAGGCTGGACAATGGGGAAGCACAATTTGGAAATTACTTTTTGTCGCTTCTGCTGAAATTAGACGAAATATTTTATCGCAAATTGAAAAACCAATTATGTCAGTTTCTTAACATGGCTGAGCGTTGTACAATGACAGAACAAGGCATAGTTTTCATCTTGTATGTCCCTTTTTAACAAACGTTAGCGTTGTCTTGATTCAATATTCTCATGAATAGAGCAGACGATATGCAAATATTACAAAGAAAACTGGATACTGTAAAGTAACAATATTTATTCTATCTTTTACTATTTACGGTTGTCACTTCACGTTTCCCGTGTACATTTCAGCGATGAGGAAGATAAAGTGCGATTAGGATTCACGGTATTTTTGTCCCTTACAAATGGTTTCTTCCTTTTGATGTAAAAGAGGAAAACTATAGAAATATTCTTCGGATCACCTGAGTGCGTATTTCCTTTCACTAAAATGAAACAATACTGTCGATAACAGTCGTGCATTGTATCTTACCTGTTAACGGGCTTCAGCGCGCTAACCAAGTTTAAACACAGAAGTCAGTGGGAGAGCTAGGCTACATGCATTTATTCCATGATACACTCCGTCCTTTACTATGGCATGTGTACATTTTACTTTTTCTTTCGGCGTGAACATATATTTCTACGATTTCATTAGTTGGTGATCACAACTGAATAGAAGTCCAGCCTAAACCTAGCAAACACTGGTATACTGCACTGTATTTTCCTATTGTTTATGTATGTATATATGTATGGATACATATGGTCTCCGGCAACCTGATATTGTTTCTATCATAAATGTACATTTATATAGTACACTAATATTCATTGTAAAAAAATACCAATACCGAAATAAATAAATAAATAAATAAATAACGCAAACGTCTTTAACAGTGAGTCGCTACTCGTAGAATGACCTCAGCACGCAGTACGTTGGCCTTGCCATGTTAAAACAAGATTAAAGGTATGTCTTTCAGTTGTGCCGCCTAAAGTGAACAGTGAGCCAGGCATACATGGGCCGGGCTCAGGGAGGGTGATGAGTCAGATCGTCATGGTGTCACGTTGTCGGCATATCAAAGGCTCTCCTGTGATGCCACGTATCGTCACCCGGGCAGATGATCATTCACATGACGACAGAACTTTGACAGAACAGCCAGAAAATAGACAAAGTCCACATGCAGTGTTTAACTCGGCTGCATGGATTCCCACTTCTTATCAACGAAAATGTTCGGGTGACAATTTTTAATTGGTCATGACTGGGTAACTGCTGTATTGTCATAGTCACAGGAGTTAGTAGGGTGGGTTAAGTTTGCCTACTGCACGCACACTGTCACGGCGCGTGCACCCCCCTCCCTAGAACTACCAGCACTATTACACGTTTAAGGTACAGAAAAAAAACACTATCAGCAATTGCAAGATGATTAACGTCCATGTGATTGCTGGAAATATGATATTTGATCAATGTGTGTTCACAGATCAATTACTCAAATATCGATAAAGCGATAGATAAATTCCACAGCCAGATTTAAAAGGGTAATTTCCTTTGAGAGGAAGGGAGGGTATTTTTTTAAACAAAATACAACGCGGGGGCCGATGCCTACACGAATGCTTGGACGTAAATTGGATGCTTCTTTAGAATATATATATATATATATATATATATATATATATATATATATATATATATATATATATATATATATATATATATATATATATATTTTTTTTTTTTTTGGAATTGAGAAAATTGTTGAAAATATTTCTAGCTGGAGGTCACACTTCTTTCACCCACCTCTCATTACTGCATCCACCAGGTGCGATAACAAGGGGCAATTCAATCAAATTGAGCTTTTTACATAGGCTGCCGAAGGCCCTATCTTTTTTCAAAGTAAAATGTTCTATATGCACCGAGGTTGACAAAAAGATGAAGTCACATGGTCTCTCTATAGATATTATGGAATGTGGCGTGGGATATAAATACATGATGTACATATATATGAATGTATATATAAATGTATATATAAATCACTGATAAACGAAGGATGATAGCCGTAAATATGACACATCTGTCAGAACTATATAGAGAGAGGGGACGGGAGCGATGGGTACGAGTTAGAGGTGTCACAGAACGGAGCACCATCAGGCTCTCGCCGGGGGCGATAGTTTGCGTCGCGTTCCACCCCCGAATATCCCGAGGCCTGGTGCACCTGTCTTTAGAGATAACCTTCTCACTATAGACCGGGGCCAGGTTCACAACACAGCTTTTAACTGATTGGTGGTCTTAATGTCAAGACCAAAATTCTAGTCTAGTTTGGCCCATGAAAAATATGCAGTAGTAAATAAAACGTAATAGTGGGTTTGCTTTATGAAAAAATGGGTGAATCCTCTGACAGTAACTTAATGCTTAATGTTAATGGATTACTGCGGATTTATCTTTCTTTAAATTAGACAGAATGTTCGGATTCACAGTTAAGACCAACGTTAGGCTTTAAGTTCGTTTTTAAAAACCGTACCCAGTGCAACGTACCGTCTTTCGCCATGGCAGTCCGTTATCGCTTTCGTTACGCGTAAACTGGGAGGTGTGTGTGTGTGTGTGTGTGG